TATTTAAGTGATCTACTTTCCGATTATGTTTTTTTCTTAAGTAGTTAATTTATCTGTCTATTTATTTATTTATTTATTTTTGGCGGTGTTGGGTCTTCATTGCTGTAGATGGGCTTTCTCTAGTTGCAGCAAGTGGGGAGTACTCTGTTGCGGTGTGTGGGCTTATTGCGGTGGCTTCTCTTGTTAAGGAGCATGGGCTCTAGGCACATGGGCTTTGGTAGTTGTGGCATGCAGACTCTAGAGCACAGGCTCAGTAGTTGTGGCACACGGGCTTAGTTGCTCTGCAGCGTATGGTATCTTCCCGGACCAGGCTCGAACCCCTGTTCCCCGCATTGGCAAGCGTATTCTTAACCACTGTGCCACCAGGGAAGGCCCCAATTGTGGGTTTTTTTTTTTCTTTCCTATAGATTCTTGTTGCTGCTGCTTTTTTTTTTTTTTTTTTTTTTTGCTGCTTTCTTGTTTAGAAAAGACTTTTTAATATTTCTTTTAGGTTAAAAGTTTAGTACTGCCGTATTCTTTTAGTTTTTGCTTGTCTGAGAAATTCTTTGACTCTCCTTCTATTCTAATGATAATCTTGCTGTGTAGAGTATCCTAGTTGCAGGTTTTTCCCTTTTAGGACTTTGAATTTATCTTGCCACTCCCTTCTAGCCCGCAGCATTTTTTTTGTAGAGAAATCACCAGATAGCCTTATGGGGGTTCCCTTATAAAATTAACTCTTTGTTTTTCTCTTGCTGCGTTTAGAATCCTCTCTTTATCTTTAACTTTTGCCATTTTAATTATAATCTCCCTCACTTTTGAAGGATAGTTTTGCCGGGTATAGTATTTTGGGTTGACAGGTTTCTTTTCTTTGAGCACTTTGACTGTATTGGCCAACTGCCTTCTGGCCTCCAGAGTTTCTCATGAGAAATCTGCAAATAATCTAATTGCAGGTCCTTTGTATGTGATAGTTTGCTTCTCTCTTACTGTTTTCAAGATGTTCTCTTCTTGGGCTTCCCTGGTGGCGCAGTGGTTGAGAGTCCGCCTGCTGATGCAGGGGACACGGGTTCGTGCCCCGGTCCGGGAAGATCCCACATGCCGCGGAGCGGCTGGGCCTGTAAGCCATGGCCGCTGAGCCTGCGCTGCCGGAGCCTGTGCTCCACAATGGGAGAGGCCACAACAGTGAGAGGCCCGCGTACCACAAAAAAAAAAAAAAAAGATGTTCTCTTCTTGTCTTTTGAAAGTTTGATTATAATGTCTTGATTTCGATCTCTTTGAGTTTCTATTACTTGGAGTTTGGTGAGCTTGGTTGTTTATGTTCATGTCTTTGATCAAATTTGGGAAGTTTTCAGACATTATTTCTTCATATATTCTTTGCTCACTCCCCTTTTTGTCCTCCAGACTCCCACAATGCTATGTTGGTCTACTTTTTGGTATCCTGTAGGCCTCATAGGCACTGGTCAGTTTTCTTCAATCTTTTTTCTTTTTGTTCCTCGATTTACTAATTTCTATCAAGGTAACTGATTCTTCTGCTTGTTCAAATCTTCCTTTGAATCCTTTTAGTGAATTTTTCATTTCAGTTGTTGTAGTTTTCAGCTCCAAAAAAATTTTTTTGGTTTCTTTCTAGGTTTTCTATCTGTTTATTGGTATTTCCATTTTGTTCTTACATCGTTTGTTGAGTTTTCCACGTCTTCCTTTAGTTCAGTCTTTGTCTAATACATTTGACATGAGATCTTTTTCAGGGATAACTTACGTTGATTTTTTTTTCCTTTGAATGGATCATAATTTCTTGTTTCTTTCTATGCCATGTGGTTTTGTTGTTGTTGTTGAAACAACATTTGAATCTGGACATTTAAATCTAATAATGTGGTAACTCTGGAAATCAGATTCTCTCCCTTTCCAAATATTTACTGTTTTTTGTTACTTTGTTGTTTTTGTTGTAAGCTGTTTCTCTTCCAAGGAGCATCCTGATATGTAAGCTTAAGGTCTTTTCTAGGGTCTTTTCTGAACCTGTGCCTTTCTCTGAGCATGTGTATTTACTTTCTAATTGTCCCTGTATATGCAGTTAGTTTTGAATGTCCTTGTCTTTAATGTCTGGTTCCCAATAGAGGATAAATAGAAAAATGGGGAGGCGGGGGAGGCAATCCAGTCTTTTAAGTCCCCTGGAAATCACTTCAGCAGAAATGGAGGGTCTTGCAACAGTAGGAAGAAGTACAAAGACCATGGATACCCCTTCTTTGTCTGCACCTGTGGGATCAGAGGAAGCAATCATTGATTGGAGCACAGATCCCCAGTATTTGGAGGACAAGGGCCCTTTTTGCCCACCCTGGCTCCCACAAGCTGTGTGCAAGCTGCTTCTGGAACATGTGCACAGGTGCCTGTTATAGGGTAGATGTGGGGAATGGGTAGCTGCTGCTACTGTGCTAGGAGCTGGAGTTGACCAAAATTAACTGCAGTTTATGGTCCAAGGCTTCCCCTAGAAATTGCAAGCCTCCAGTAGACTCCTGAGTTCCAAAATAGTTACATCAGACAGATTCCACCAGTGCAGTTGTGGTCTAGGTAGGGAGGGAGATTCCTGGTGCTTCCTACTCCACCATCTTCCCAGAATTCTCTCTCTTGAGTTAATTGTTTTCCATATAGTAGGAGGGAGGGGTCCAGTTTCATTCTTCTGTGTTGTGTCCAGTTGTTCCATTACCATTTGTTGAAAATACTGTTCTTTCCCCATTGAATTGGCACTCCACTTTTGTCAAAAATCATCTGACCACATATGGGAGGGTTTATTTCTGGGCTCTTTGTTCTGTTTTGTTGGTCATTGTGTCTGTTTTTATGCCGTTGCCAACAGTTTTGATTACTGTAGCTTTATAATAAGTTTTGAAGCCAGGAAATGTGAGTCCTCCAACTTTGTTCTTTTTCAAGATTGTTTGGCTATTCTGGGTCCCTTTCATTTCCATGAGTTTTAGGATGAGCTTGTCAATTTATGCAATGTAGACAGCTAGAATTTTGATAGCAACTATATTAAATCTGTTGATCAATTTGTGTAATATTGTCATCTTAACAATATTAAATCTTCTGATCCATGAACACAGAGGTCATCTAGGTCTTCTTTAATTTCTTTCAACAGTGTTTTGTAGTTTTCAGTATACAAGTACTACACTTTTGTTAAATTTATTCCTAACTATTTTCTTTTGTTTGATGCTATGGTCAGTGGGATTGTTCCTTTAATTTTATTTTCTGATTGCTCTTTGCTAACTTATAGAAAGATAACTTATTTTTATATGTTGATCTTGTATTCTGCAACCTTGAAACTCATTTACTAGTGCTAATAGTTTTTCTGTGGATTCTTTCAGATTTTCTGTGTACAAGATCTTATCATCTGCAAAAGGAGATAGTTTTCCTTCTTTCCAAATCTGGCTGCTTTTGTTTCTTTTTCTTTCCTAACTGCCCTGTCTAGAACTTTCAGTACAGTGTCAAGTAGACATGGTGAAACTAGACATCTTTGTCCTGTTCCTGATCTTAGGAGAAAGCTTTCAGTCTTCCATCACTAAGTATTATGTTAGCTGTATTTTATAGATACTCATTATCAGATTGATAGAATATCAGTACTTCTATTCTTTTTTTAAATATTTACTTTATTTTATTTTTGGTTGCATTGGGTCTTTGCTGCTGCAAGCAGGCTTTCTCTAGTTGCAGTGAGCGGGAGCTACTCTTCGTTGCCGTGCACAGGCTTCTCATTTCAGCGGCTCCTCTTGTTGCAGAGCATGGGCTCTAGGCACGCAGGCTTCAGTAGTTGTGGTGCGCAGGCTCAGTAGTTGTGGTGCACAGGCTTAGTTGCTCCTCAGCATGTGGGATCTTCCCAGACCAGGGCTCGAACCCATGTCCCCTGCATTGGCAGGCAGATTCTTAACCACTGCGCCACCAGGGAAGCCCAGTACTTCTGTTCTTACTTTCGTGAGTGTTTTTATCATGAAAG